ACGTAATCATAAACCATGTATAAATTAATATTTCTATTCATATAATATAAAAATATACAAAATAGAATTTTCTTATTTGGTAATCATATCAACCATATGATTTTTATGGAGGTGTCGAAAATTTTTCAGATGTTTCTATAATTTTACTGTGAGGTACTCATAAGTATAGTATAGTATAGTATAATACTTATATATGATTTATCAAGTATAGTATAATACTTTAAAAACAAATACACAAATTAAAACTTTTATATTTCGTAACATGAAAAATTGTGGGCTACCACGAATTAATATTTTTACTATATTTATATATTTTTTTTTTCAATCTTTATATTGTGAAAACATATTTTCTCATAAAAGTAGCTATAAAATCAAAAATAATCACAATTTTAATTTACAGCAAATTATAAAAATTATAAGAATTAAAAAAACAAACAAATTGAAACAATATCTCAACCATATGTTTAAACATAATGATTAAAAAAACAAAATTAAATAAACAAAAAAGCAAAAAATTATATGTAAAAATGTTCAAAAAAAAAAAATTGCTTAGAAAGCAAACAAAACAACCTGTTCGCATTTCGGTCTTTAAAGCATCAACAGCACAACAATAAGAAAATTTTAATTTTATTTTCGACTTCATTTTAAGTTGTCTAAAGAAATACGAAATACTTGCGACACTTTGTATCTACTAAAAATGCGGCGTTCACACAGATACGCACTCGCACTCACACCGCCACAATCTTATGACATAATGACGCATAGTGCATTGAGCTTTATGTGCCAAATTCGTAGTATTTTTATTTTCATGTAAAAGTAAACATTCATTGGCAACATTAAAAACGTGTTGCTCTGATTTTGTATTTTCTATCTGCAACATCGTGTGTATCTTTTTTCTTCTTTTCTCTTTCCTCTATTATTGCTGTAACCATTAGTATGTCAATCTTTAACAAATTACAATATTCAATTGAGGCTTTATTTTTGGGTTTTAGTATTGTAGCCCAAACAAAATAAACGAATTAGTGTTGTGTTGTGTTGTTGTTGCTGCTGCTGCCGCTGCTGCCGCCTCCCACAAATAAAAATGCCAAGTAACTACGCAATCTTCGAGATTCGCCTTCGCTAAATACAATTGAGGAGTTCGGTACTTAGTTGCGTTAAGCATGCGCAAAATAAACAATTTGCATGCGCAGCTACGGCGTACCGCAATTACGTATTGACTTCAACCAACAGATAATTATCATTAACTTCATTATCTACAACTTCATCGTCATTAACATCAACCATGTTGCGTATTTTGACGTTTAAATCCCGCGCGCATCGCGATAAATAACAAATTGTTGTGAATTATGCAATTAGTGGTGTTCCTTTTGTTTTTATAATTTTTTATTTCTTATTTTATTTAAAATTATTTAATTTTATTTGTTAAGTTTACGTTTTTTAGGTCTTTCGATTTTGCTTCGGGGCTCACATAAACGCCAGATGATTTTTAAATAAGATTTTATTTAATATGTTTTACCAAACATTTTGACTTTGTAAATTCGGCGATTGTATTAAAAACAAATCTAAACAGAAGATTGAAGGTCTCCATTTACAAGTACAAGTGCTTGTATAATTTGCATAATTTGAAACGATTATTTTATTGACACAAATTAAATATATATACATAAATGGATTTAGTTCAATAACATATCGAATAAAAAAAAAGAAAAATTTATACAACTAAAATCATCCTTAGGCCGTGTGCGAGTTCAAGCAAATTGAGGTAAAATAAATTGAAATTTCCTAGGGATTTTTTTGTACTGCACTTATATAAATATTTATTTATTGCATTTATTTTTTATTTTTGGTTAAAAGTTTTTAAATTTTTTTATTTATTTATTAAACATCTTATAAAATTTACACATTGGAAACGCCTTATTTACCTAATTTTTATCTAATTCACCCTACTCGAAATTCTGATAAATACCAACATTCGCTGCCATACCGACATAATTTACTATTTCACTTAATTTACCATCAATTAACTTGAACTCGCACACGGCCTTAACATTAAAAAAGTATGAGCTAGTGGTATCGAAAAATATAAAAAGAAAATTTATAAAGACAGTTTTCTTATGACCACGTTATGCAGAGTGTCTCGGGCACATCATGAGTTAAATTGTTGTTGTTTTCAAAGCAAATTAAAAAATTGAGATTGAAAAAAAAAACGATATGTCGGTTCAAATTTCATCATAAGAGCAATGGTATCATATCTTTTTGAAACCATTTCGAAACGCAACCATTGCATTTCTGTAAAAAAAAGGACCAATTTTTTGCTATTGTCTTTTAATAATGAAATATATATAAAATGTACAGAAGATATTGAACAGTACAAGTCTTTTTATCCATAACCAAATTATTATTCAAATAATCGAACTATCTTTTACTGACCATATCTTTTTTACTCCTTTGCATAACATAATATTATTTAAGATAAAAAAATCCATTGCGATCGAAGTTTGCTTTTACCTTTTGCAGTTTATATTAGTTTCATAGTGCACAATTGCATCTATAAATAAATTTAATTGGATAATATTATAATATGTACAATAAAGTTCATGTTTCAAAAAAGTACCATTTTCTAAACACGAGTACCAGAGTACCATACAGAAGAAAAATACCAATTTGGGTACTTCTTTTCATACATTGGGCGAAAGTGATTATAGCCGATGCTATCTGTGCCTCGTCACTTAGGCAAAAGCAGTGTTGTGCAGTAATATATATCAATATAATATACTACAATTTTAATACGTTTTGAGGAAAAAATTTAAATTTAAAATATAATAAAATGTGTAATTCTTACAGTTTCCGATTTTAAGGAAAGGCGTATAATTTTGTAAATACTGTTAACAATTATTATAAAAAAATTGTAATAATAAATTAACACTTTTGCAGCCTCAATGTGTAATTTCTTGCTGGTTATTTTGTCAAACTAAAAGTGAGCATTTCCTTCTAAATTTAGGCACAACTATAAAGTACAAAAGTAGTAGTAAAAGTACTTCGTCATAGCTCGAAGGGCCAATTGTGACATGTTTATGACAGTCTACATAACATGGACTGTTAAGAGATTGGATCGTTGCGTTGAACACATTGTTTCTAATAACAACCATTTTATATAATAGCAAACAGCTAATGTGATTATGATATAGAAGTAAAGTATGTAAAATCGAGAATGGTAACACAGTAACAATATTACTAATTTACAAGAGAAAAGTTTTGTAACGATACATGCATGTTTTTTTTTTAATTTTAATAGAATTTATATATGAAAAGCGTTGTATGAGTAAAGATTCTATTTCGCAACTTGAACTACCGATTTTGTTGCGGTTATGTTATCTTAAGAAATTTAAATACCTATTTTTTAGATATTTAATAATATTAAGCATTAATTATTTATTATATATATTAATAATTTATAGTTTTATTAATAATATTATTTTAATATTTAGATGATATGTACTTAGAGTGTTAAAAATGGAATAGTACACATATTGAAAGCTTTAATTTTTTTTTCCAATGAATTAATTATACTTTATTAAAACGCTTAAAAAGAAGATTGAAGTAAACATTTACGAGCACGCTCAATAATACTCAAAATAGAATATAGTGATACTATAGGTTCTTAAGAAAATACTTTTGTGATAGTTTATCAGAGTGCTCAATGGTGAAGATGAAAGACCTATTAAATTATCTAAATTCAGTGGGATGAATTTAGTCTCTACTCTTCTATACTAGGGTTCTTGCGAGGAATGTGGTAACAAAACGGCGAAAAATCGCTAATTGAGGTACATTTGAAGTTATCTTATGACCTGCCACTGCAACCAACCAACCAACCAACCATAGTGATAACTAATTTTAAGTCAATCGATGTAAACGGCTTTGTTGGTTAGCCATCACTAGTTGCTGTGATAAGAAAATTTTGTTTATTTAAAATATATTTGAAATATATGTGAAACTTAGAATTAGTAGTTCTGAAATAATTAACATTTTCCAGTTATTTTACATATTGCTTAACGTCTTTCTTTTTTTGTTTTTGTCTAAGAATTTCTCAATTTGCTTACTTCGTTAATTGCTTAGTTTTTTTCATAATATTTTTAATAACTTTTAAGTTAATTAGAAATTCTAAACATAAAATCGTTGAAATGCAAACGTACTAGAATGCGTGAAATGTTACGTCAAACTTTCACTACTTAAGTCAATAATGAATGCAGCAAGCCAAACCCAAATGCGAAACGCATGCGTAAACTAAGCTTAGCTTGGAATGTGCGTTCCACGGCCAAGACAGTGGCAACCAAAGGTGAAAATCAACGGACTGAATGACACTTGCTTATACTCGTATGCTCTTTACTTAGTATTTTGATGTGTGCGATTGTCAGGTTGTCATTGCCTTCTACTGGTGCCACTGGTGCCGGTGCCGTATCTAATAATCTCGGCAGCAGCAACTAAACAAATTACACGAAAACAAATAATTTAAAGAAAAACTACAACAAACACGTGTGAAAATTTTCCAAACAACTTAGTAAACGTTGCCGTGAAAGCCTAGACTTACAAACGGCAGAGGCTCGATATTGTTTTAACAAGTGAAAAGTAAAAATAAGTGTAAAGTAAACAATATTAAGCAAAAATTCATAATTTTGTTGGGTGAAAATGTGGGCGGATTTA